AAAACCTATGGCCATGAATGAACCCACAGGATAGAGGAGAACTGCTGCGGTGGGATTCCAAGACTATAAATCTTTGTGGGAGTAGAAAGCCTCATCTTTCTCCTGTGGAGTGGCTGGTGGTTTCAAACTGGTGACCTGGGGGTTAGCAGTCCAACGTGTAACCACCTATGCCACCAATGGTCCTGACATGAGCCATACTCTGTTAAAAAATATAGTCTTGAACATGACACAAAATAGTTTACATGATTTAAAGTGGTTTTCCTACTTTTCTTAAATTGGCATGCTTATCTGACTGTATCATTTGGCATAGAACTATTTACCCATTAACACAGCAATTGTTTCCTGAGATTCTATTATGTGTCAGGGTCTGTCCTGACAAGACCTAAATCTAGAGAAAACAATCCTCTCCTAATAAAAATGGTCTCATCACAAATATTTTCAAAGTAATAGAATTGAATCTAATGTAGAAGCAAGTGCAATATACAGATTACTATAACTTGAAAGGATTATGAAGAGGGTCTATTTAAGGCAATATGTGTATGGCTATCTGAATTTAACTGCATACAAAAATCTGAATGCTCTATTTGATGTGGTTTATACATAATGCTGGTGTTCATGTCAGAAAGCTAGCTTTAAATAGTATTAAACACAGCCTGTTTTAATATCAACATCTATAGAATATGCATATTTAATTTTTAGAAACAACCCAATATATTTTTTATTTACTCTGAATATTTTTGTTACAACAGCAAAACACTATGATAACCTTTGGCATTATGACCTCCTTCTATAAGAGAGAATATTAGTTGAACAAGTGCATTTATATATATACACGCACACACACAAAAACCCCTAATAAAACAGACTTGTCTCAGTGGATATTAGTAGGAAAAATCTCAGATTCTTAATCCATGTAATTACAAAGTATAATCCTATACTAAAGATGTTTCTAGTGCCAATAAGTCCAGGGCTTTCTGGACAATCACAATATTTTTGCTAATTATGTTAAGAATCGAGTATAAAAGGTCATACAATCTAGTCCAAAGAGAGCAACAATAACAAAAAAGCTGGTACAATCAAACAACTAGAACTATGACCACAGAACATTTGATGCCTGACTTTCAGGGTGATTACATTAGCATCCCAGTTGTTGCTCTTATCTTGGAGCAGGTATCTTTGGGGGTAACCTGTGATGATAATGGAATGATACACAGAGGTAATACTAGAGAATGCCGGCCCCAGTCACCTGAAACGTGTCACCCCACACTATTCAACCTGGATCTGCATAAAGCTTTAAATCTGTTGAGCCTTTCATCTTCTTTCGGATGTCTACCATCATGACGGAATCAAACTTGCCCAGAACTAGAGCCACTATTGAATTGGATCCTAAATCTATACAATGACCTCAGACTCAGAAGCCAAGGGAAGGTGTTATTTTAGGTAAATTTCCCAGAGCTCTTCAGCCAAAGTTCTGATAAAATGATGATGTTCCCAGAGAGCCTCCAGAAAAGGGCCATCTTTGTCTTTGGGCTGAGGAAGTGGTAGGAGAAACATGTTCGATGAGAGTTTCTTGACACAGCATCAGAGGCACGGACTAGTCAATCTATAACTAAAAAGAACTCCAAATGACCCCAAATACCATTTTTTCTTCAAAGAAAAAAATGACTTGAATCATATCGATGTTAATGAGGTGGGCTGGCGTGGAGACCCAAAACCCATCTGCAGAAAATAGGACACCCCCTCACAGAAGGGTAACAAGGAAGGGATGAGCCAGCCAGGGTGCAGTATAGCACTGACAAAGCCTACAACATTCCTCTAGTTCTTTAATGCTTCTTCCCCACCAACTATCATGACCCCCGTTGTACCATACAAATCCTGCTAGACCAAAGCATGTACACAGGTACAGATCAGAGCTCTGGACACGCAGAATCCAGGACAGATCAACCCCTCAGGAACAGTAATGAGAATAGCAATACCATGAGAGTGGGGGGGTGGGAGGAACCAATTGCAATGATCACGCATAACCCGCTCCTGGGGTGGGGGCAACGAACAACAGAAACGTGGGTGAAGGGACACAGCGGATGGTATAAGATATGAAAATGATAATAACTTCTAATTTATCAAGGGTTCATGAGGGGGGAGTGAGGGGAAAAAGAGGAGCTGATACCAAAGAAAATGTTTTGAAAACGATGATGGCAACATATGTACAAATGTGCTCGATACAATTGGTGTATGCAATGTTATAAGAGCTGTAAGAGCCCCAATACAATGATTTATTAAAAAGCAAACAAACAAAACTCAAGCTCTACTCACAGAAGTGCATACGGAACAGAGGGGACTTCAGGACGCTCCAAAGGCCAGTGTCTGAGTTCTCCACAGTGCTGCCCCAGAGGGAACGGTTACCAAGATTTTACCTCTTTGCCTCTAGAGCTGCTCGGCAGGGCTGTGACCAGCTCTTTTGAGCATCACACGAGTATTATCACTTTTGACATGTGCCATGACAAGAAAAAAAGGCTGGCAAGCACCTTAAAATGAAATCTCTTCGAATGATGTCTCTATTCCAAAAATGAACAGAGTGGCATTTTGCAATTCCCACGGTTTCTACCTATGAGCTTACTTCAAACCCAAGCATTATCTTTGCTCAGAAATTATTCCTGAACTTAGGTCACATGAAGGGTGGAGAGCATGAAATTCTACACGGCAATAAACAATTTCAGAGCACACATATTTCAAAGAACACTTTTATACCAGTGCTGCAATTATTTTCAAGGACTCTGAAATGAAAAATAGAAGTTAGCTCTTACCCTATTGTGACAACTTCTGTATTCTTCTCAGGGTAAAGTATCCATGTCTTCATACAGTTCTTCCGCTCCTGGACTGAGCAATTCCTGAAGTGTCTCTAGTGGGTCTAGAGGGAAAGAAAAAGATCTAAGTCAACGTGTTGCAGCACTTCTGGTAACATTGATTCTGTTTCAAGGTGCCGAGATTGTCTCTCTGTCTCTCATTTCGTACAGTGGATATATCTTGCATTAAACTCTCTTGTACAAAAGGATCCAGGATTCAGAGAATGGTTAGTCTAAAAGGGACATTACCTCCTGCATGTTATTTGTACTTTTACTTTTATTCATCTTTAAAGGGATGATGTCTTAGCCAATCATAACGTCATCTTAACTAAGTACCATCATTATCTGATGACTTGCCCGAGACCCGATTTTCACCCTTTGCTTAGTAAAGGCAAGGCTTCCTGTAAAAGCCACACCACATTTTTCGGGCGATGCAGTCCATTCTGTAGGTTCCCGGAGACTATTTTTTTGCTTTACTTTGCTGTGACAGAAAGTAACACATTTTGGGTCTTAATCTTCTATGCCTAATTTTTTTCTGCCCTAAAACTCCTTACCACTGTTATAAGTACCCCATCAAGTCTATAATAACGCTGCCCAGAGCCAGTGAAAACAGGTGCATTGCCAGCAGGTTCTTGAAGATAGCCTTCCATCAACACAAAGTTTCGGATTTTTTTTTTTTTTTGCAACCAGCAAAGAAAATAAACTGGCTTTGACAGCCGATTGTGGACTGCTCTAATTCCTTGAATCCATTTTCTGCACGCCTTACTTGGCCAGCCTCTTCCCATTGCCTGCAAGCTGAGTTTGTTTCTTTGCAAGCCTCTTTTGTAATTATAACCAACACCATGTTCCACAACCCAAAGAATTATTTGCCACTGAAAGTGTATTTTAACGCAAGCGTCCAATGGAAGCACTCAGTTTGAGGCTCTTTCTTGACCTGTCCTTTATCAATGGACCCAGCAGTCCATAACTGTGTTTAGAATAAGGGAAACCAACGCGGGGATGGGAGAATAACGCTCAGACATAACAGGAAGCCCAGTGGTGTTTCTAGCTTTAAAAGCTGCCACTCCTGATGTGATTGGTTCGTCCAATGATCTGCCTATGGAGGTTCGAAGTACAAGAACACAGCTGGATGGTACTTCTGGACTCTACCACGAAGAATCTGGCTCGATGTATCTTTGGATTCCTTAAGCAGAGATGGTTGGAGATTGCAGAGTGGTGCTAATGAATCCTTCAAAGATAGTCAAACAATAGTTTCCTGATGACATAGTCTTTCATTAGTAAGCTTACCTTATTCACATGGCTAACGGTAACTAACATAACTCCAAATAAATAAATATCCATGGGAATGAACCCTGTTAGTAGTAGCAAATGTTTCTGTGAGAGAAGTAGAAAGCATTTACACATAGACAGACTTGTCTCTGGGTTCTGGATAAATTTAACACTCAAAAGAGTTCAGTGAAAAGTGGCCCATACATACTGTATGCTTTTGTGCTAATAGGAAGATCTAGAACAAGGAAAAGTAGGTATAGTGATCAGCAGAACAGTGGTTATGAGAGATTTAGAGGGAAATAGCAAAAAAGACTTTGTAGAAGAATAGAAAAATATCTTGATTGGAATGGTGGCTACATGACTGTACACATTTTGATGAACCTAATGAAACTGTGCCATTAAAATCTGCATACTGTAGGGCAATTAAATTATACTTCAATAAATAACAAAAAAATCAATGGGACCCAAAGAGGCCTCTCAATTCCAAGATTTTGAATCAGAGAGTCTTTAAGAAGGGGCCCTTCTTAAAGACTCCTTCCTGTCCATTTCAAATTTAAACTATGAAAGCCAAGTCTTCATTCTTTCATTTATTCATCTATCCAACAAAGATTTATAAAACACAAATATATCCAGAGTTAGCAGCGTGGCACTGATCCAGCTGCTAGAGAAATAGTGAGATGCAAAATAGACATATCTGCTAGTTTTATGGAATGCATCGTCTGATGGGACAGTGCGGGGGCAGGGCGGGGACATGGGAATAGTTAAATTGGCAAAAATATAGGGTTGTGGCTGTAGCATCAAGAGAAGTCCCAGGTTTAAACTTGCATCAACATCAAATACTTTATGCTAACCCAAACGTAATATATTGGTGCACATTGAGTCAGTAAAAGATGATAGAGTGATCAGACCAAAGCAAAGCAAATAATGGTTTCTCTATATTATGTTCTAAGTTGCATTTTATTTGGCCATTATAGTCCTTTTAACCAAGGTGAAGGTCTTCTACACCCAAAGGCAGCTTGTCTATGCAGCTTCCCGTGAGAAAAACATGGTCTTAAATGACCCTCTTTCCCGTGAGCAAACCACAGCTGGGAAGACAGGTGCATCTACTTCTCGCGACTATGCTGCTGCCAATGAAGCACTTGCAGGTTCTCCAACTACAAGCATTGGGCACACACACTGTAAGGTCCAGCTTGTGACAAGAGCAGTATTTCGTATACTCTAAACAAGGACGAACAATGAGTAGGTGAGTATTCCAGTATAAAAGGCCCGCAGATACATACTTGTACCTCCTCCTTCATTCCCTCTATCTATCCACCATTAAGTGAAATATTTTATGGGCAATTCAATGTTTAAAGCACATTAAAAATCTTCCATAACTTAACCGAACATCTAATTTTTTTTCCCATTTTGGTTTTCCCATCTCTTTGCTCTAAAGTATCTTTTTTAATGAGGAGAATTCATTCATAAGATGAAAGAATATGACTTAATAGAAGAAGTATAAGTTAAGTATCTCAAGCTCACTGCCAACGAGTCCATCTTAATTCCCGGTTACCTGTACGACAGTGTAACTGCTCCTGGGGTTTCCGAGACTGTACATCTTGATGAGAGCAGAGCCTTGTCTCTCTCCCAAGAGCTAGTGGTTACCAACTGCTGACCCGGCAGTTAGCCCAATGGGTGCCTCATGACATTAACAGGGTTCCTAAATAAACTATAAGAACCTTATTATTAATTACTGAATTTCCAAACCGTCTAAGGAGGGCTATCCTATTGTGTATTTTTTGAAGCTTTCTAAAGGAAAACCAACAGGATTTTTAAAGGAAACATATTAGAAACCATGGTTAGCTCAAAATTTAGCTTTGGAATAAGATACTTTAATTCAAGAGCACAAAATATCATGGGCAAATATTTTTAACCAAGAATCAGCAATATAACTCTTTCACTGGTCTCTCTTAGCTTTCCCAGTGTAATCAGATACTTAGGGTTTGGGCTGCATTCAATTGGGAGGACACTTAAATTCTTAAATTCCACAAAAAGCAGACACTTCAGTTCTAAAACAATGAGGATTCTAGAGCCAACTGTCTCGAAGAGGAGTGCTGTTCCATTCTCCTTCAGAGAAGAATGGCAGGCTGCAATTTGAACTGCAGAATGGCATTTTAATTACTGTTCCTCCCCAGTTAGTGGCACATTGAAAAGAAATCTGTTTTTGCTAATTAGGAATTGTGGTTGCTATTTTGTATCACTTTAATGTTTAATATTTAATAAATGCATTCATCGGACCAAAAACTACACTTTAAGAATCCCATATCTATGTTTATTCTACCACCAAACAGTGGATGTTTAGAATAGCTAACACCATGGATTATTTTCCTAGCCTTTCAGTATAACCTCACGTTAGTTAGTGTTGTTCATTTGTTTTCCTCTTCCTGTGAGGATAAGCTTACTGCTTTTCCTGTGGTTTGATTCTTTGATAGTCACTTTTCCATAAACTTTATGAAATCGCTAAGGAAACTGTAGCATTGGATTTGTGAGATTCAGCGATATTTTGTAGTGGATTAAACAGTTGGGCTGCTAACTGTAAGGTTGGTGGATCAAACTCATCAGCTGCTCTTCAGAAGAAAGATGAGGCTCTCTGCTTCTGTAAAGATTTACAATCTCCAAGATCCAGACAGCAGTTCTGCTCTTAGAGTTGCGCGGAGTCAGAATCAGAGCCCTGCTGGGGTAGCGGCTATGTGTTGGGCTCCTAAGTGCAAGGTGAGCCATTCGAAACTCCCAGACATTCCCCATGAGGAAGACAAGGCTTTCTCCTTCCCTAATGAGGAGCTCTGGTGGCACGGTGGCTACACATTGGGCTGTGATCAGCAGGGCACAGTTCAAAACCAGCAGCCTCTCCAGGGAAAAACACAAGACCTTATTCTCAGAAAGCCACCAGGGCAGTTCTACCCTATCCACAGGGTTGCTATGAGGTGGCTTCAACTTGGTGGCAGTGAGTGAGGAGTCAGAGTTAACAGGAGGGACACCACTACTGATATAAATCAGTGGATGTAAATGCTGGGATTTAAGGCTTCCTCAATCTCCTTGTATAAACAATTATATTGTGCAACCCTTTATGATTTCTCCTGGCTTTTGCATTGTCAAAGCTTTGTTTCCCACTAATTCCCAAAGATGTCACATGACCTTGATTCTGCAGTCTCCTGTCCAGGAATAAGAAAGGCTTTCCCAGGTGTCCTTAGAGCACATCGTAAGCAGCTCCGGGCCGATGAATCCATTAATCACTAAATGCACCCAACAGCACCGACACATTTTGAAAGAGTAAATAAAATTTGGGGAGCTAGCGGCTTGGGATTGCAAATTTTTCTAGAGGTTCAATTTCATGGATTAGCTTTATTGCATCTGCTTGGTTTAATTAAGTTAAAAAGTATATATTTCGCTTCTTTATGTCACTCATTGTATAAGACACTAGGGATCCATGAATAAAACATGGCTCTTCCTTGAAAGTATGGATAGCTGAGTTACTGAAGGTGAAGGAGACATAAACGCATTAAAAGATCATCTAATGCCATATGGCAAATGCCGAGACCGATGTAAACACAGCAGCTGAGGGGAAACGGAGGCTAGAAACACAGTCCCAGATGAGATGAGAAAACCTAGGCAAGAGTGTGCACATCTGAAAATAACACGTGTCTCCCAATCAGTCCTTCAGATACCGGCATGACGACAAGCGGCTGACCCCAGGAAATCCTTACAAAGTTGATTTTGTTCTGGTTTGTTATACTATCACTTAAAAAAATACATTTGA